GTAGCAGGTGAATGGAAACCTTATTGTACGTTACTGAACCGTGACCAAGTGAGCAACGGACCGGTTTTGGACATGGCAGAGCGTCCAGATTTTATAGAAAATCTATTATTGATTAATCTACATTCGATAAGTGAGTCATCTTTGTCAAATATAGCCTCCTAGAAATGCTGAATTCTTTGCAAAAAATGTACAGTTTTCACCCAATTTTGATTTAACTTCGATAGGTGCACATTAAAATCTGCTTTCTGCTCACAGTTTGCAGACACAGCCATCCTAAAAATTAAGTGTCTACTGGAAAAACACCTGATCACTGTGACATCACTGGTTTGTGTGATCAGTAATCATGTCACATAGATAAATATACTGGATCGCCTCATGTCGTGTAGCTTTTTCTGTGCTGACCCCTATCTACAGAGTATATTTGGCTAAAAAACCAGATCAGAAAAGGCTGTTTTTGGATTGCAAAGTAAGCGTATGGCCTTTTCTGCTCGGTCTTAAACACTGGGAAGATTACCAAACCTTGCGCCCCTTTACCAAGGGGTTAATTAGCAGCTACCCTCCCAATTGTCCTCTGCTTGTTCACTCTCATTAGTTTAATCTGGCTCTGTCCTCCAGCTTGCCTCTCTCGCCTCTATCCTCTTGCGCACCAGAACATCTCGCTGCCTACTCCGCTCCTTATGTCATCAGGGCGACGCCTCGTGTCCACCCCCAAAAAAATCTACCGCCGAACCCCCCTAAATTATCCTGTAACCTGCATGCCTTTGCACATGTTGTCTTCTGTTTAGCTTCCATGCAAAAATAAAAGTCTTCTGATAAAAGAAGTGTCATTATTGTAGTTATTAGGTAAGGTCAGCAGCACAGGATGCATTGAGTAGCGCAATAGGACATGTCATATAGCAAATGTTGTTTTGCTGTATCTTTAAAACTGGACAGAAGTGAGATGTTTGTTTGAAGGTGAAGAAATAAGTCAGAATATCTGTTTCCCCCGTTAGCCCGTGTAAAGAAGCAACTGCAGAAATCCCTGAAGAGCACCTAAAAATTTCTACGGTGTAAAAATGGGTGGTACGTGCGCGGTCATCGCCGTATGGGAAGAAGAAGAGAAAAAAAAAATACCAACGAAGAATGTGTGTGTGTGTGTCTGTGTGTGTGGAGTCAAATTACACTTCCTCTCTCCTTGTCACTGTGTTGTGCTCGAGATGTCGGAGCTGATAGGAGTGGCTGGAAAATGTGAAGTCTGCTTCCCTCCTCCTCTTTCTCCTCCTCCTCCCCCACCACCTCTCTAAAAATAGCTGGCAGAGAGAGAAGGCAGCGAAGTCGAGGCTCTATCTGTTGGGCTGCCAGTGGTTTCAACACTCCCACCACCAGCAAAAAGGGAAAAAAAAAGAGTCCTCTGAATCACACCTCTTATGCAAATACTAATCGCCACTGAAAGAGCACTGCCTTATTTTATGGGTTTTGTCAGCGGGACTTCCTAAATTTTAATAATTGATCCTACATTTTATTTTGGTTATTTTGGAGCAGTAAAAAAAAAAAATGTTTTTGCAGATCGAACGGTGGAATTCCTCGATCACTTTAGCCAAAAGCGACAACAAAAAGCCTCTTTAACAGCAAAAAAAAAAAACCCACAGTGGCTCCACAACATCACCAGGGGAGATGTCGAGCTTTCGCCAGGGGAGCGTGGAGTTCTGGCAGTTTTAGAGAGATTTTCAACCAAATAACGCATCATGTGATCTGCAAATCTAATGATACGTTTGAGCCGTTAAAACCACCCTGTAGACTACTTTTAGAGGAACATCTAACAAAGCACAGTAAGGATTTGATCTGTTTAATCACAGACCAAACCTGTTTCTATCAAATTCGATTTTTTTTTTTGTGATTTGTGCAGGAACAAAACTTGCCCCGAACACTTCATGAACCGAGTGACTTCCTTACCAAAGACTGCAGTGGCTACACCAGCTGTGTCCTCTTTCTTACAGCCGTTTAAAGTCGGGGCAGCCAGTGCTTGTTTGTAGGCAGAACGGACACTATTCACATGTTTTAGTGACCACAAGGCTTGTGGCCCAAACTTCCTGGGCCACGAGAACGCTCTACTTTGCGGAGCGAGTGTGTTTTGGAGATCAGGATCGGTTCTTGGTTTCCATTGTTGGGCTGCAGCAGAGCAGGATGAACATTTTCACAGGGACAGCAAAGGCCTTACAAAGACTCTGATTGACAGTATAAGATATAGAGTAGATGCTTTGATGTTGAAGACATAAATAGCAGTGCCTGAATTTGAAGCACAGCTTCTTTTTTTTTTGCACCACCGTGCTTCATCGTGATGGGAGCAGAATGGATGCTTTTCAGTTGCTATTTAAGAAATGGTAGAACAAGAGAACATGGAGTGAGACAGATCTACATCGCTGACAGGTAACACGACTAACAGATGATCTTGTTATTTAGGCAGCAAGCGAACAGTCAGCTCTGGAAGTTGATGTGTTGAAAGCTGGAAAAAATTGGCAGCGTTAAGAATCCATGTGACTTTAACAAGGGCTAAATTGTGAGAGCGAGATGACTGGGTTATAGCATCTCCAAATCAGCAGATCTTGTCAGGTGGTCCCAGTACAGCAGTGGTTAGTACCTACTGAGCGTGGTCCAAGGAAGGACAGCCAGTGACGAGGGCTCATTGACACACCTGGCGTCACAGAAGAGCTGCTGTGGCTGAAAACTTTAATGGTGGCTATGATAGAAAAGGTGTTGGAAGGAACTGTGTAAGGGGCTGCATAGCCACAGACTGGTCAGGTTCTGTGAGTCAGAACTGGACCATGGAACGATGGAAGAAGATGGCCTGATCCGATGAATCATGTTTAACGTTATGTGAGCGGCCTGACCGGTGTGTGTTGTTCAGTTGGGTCACATAATAAGCAGGATGGACTCTGAGAAGGAGGCAAGTGTGCGGAGGTGGTACGATGCTCTGGGTCATGTTCTGCAGGGACACCAAGGGAATGTTCCTTTGGCAGATAAATCCTTCCTAAACGACCACGTACAGTCCTTCATGGCAGTGTTGTGTCCTCATGGCAGTGGCCTCTGTCAGCAGGATCGCGCTCGTATAGGAATGGTTTTCGTAGCATGACAAAGAGTAGACGGTGTTGACTTGACCTCCAAGTTACCCAGACTTCAATCTGATGGAGCATCTCCTGGGATGCAATAGGAAAATAAGTCCAGTTCATAGATAGCCCAGCTCAAAACTTCCAGGAACTGCTGCTAAGGTCTCGGTGTCTGATGCCACAGAGCCGCCATATAGAGGTCTGTGAAGTTCATGCCTCGACAGTTAAGAGCTGTTTGGCAGAACAAATGCAGACAGGTGGTTTTAATATGAGTGTATGGACAAACTAGATTGTAGACAAAGTCTTTGTAATGTTTGTAAAACAATAATAATACACACGACCACATGCTCCATCAGCCAGTATCCCTAGCTTAGCTCTTTCCAGTGTTCACATTTTACTGTTTGAGATGTTTTAAGGTTCCCGAGACCTGCTAACCTTCTCAACGCTGTGTTGAACAGTGCAACCGTGTGTTTCCGTACCTAGTATACAGAGGGTTATTACAGGGAAGACGAGAATTAGCCAGTGATATTACCGTGAGACGTTTTTATCGCCAAGATTAGGGGGCTAAGGCGCCTTGCTTAGATGCAGACCCATTTAGCAGCACTGGCCAATCAGGTGACAGGTACCTGCTAAGATGTCAGGGGCACGAAGGATGAGGTGTTCATTCAGAAGGTGTCAACGCTCTCCAGGACAAAGGATCTAAACCGAGAGAAACAGGGAAGGTAAGATGTGCTTGAAGAGCAACTGGTGCTGTAGTGGGCTTGTGTTGGGCAGATAGGCGGTGATGCTACTTGCAGTGCGTCCTTTAAGTGATTTTATAAAGTCGTGAGGGTGAACGGTCCTTGGAGTTATAATATTCGGTGAGAGGAGAGAGCATGAAACGAAGATGATCTGTTAGTTTGCTTGGCTGTATGTGGAAATTCTAAATGATTTCAAAGCAGAGCTGTTTGGGAAACTTATCTCCTGGCTTACTGTGTTGTATTCTGGTGCAGTAGTCGTGGTTTTTGGTCATCAGTGGTCAACACGCCATCAAACCTTTAAGCCAGACTTCACCATTGTTAAACTAGCATTTTTCTTTTTGTTAGAATTTGTCGTCCGTCTGTAGATGGTGAAAGTGTCGGTGTTAAGAGCGTCAACCAGAGGATTGGGGTCAGCGGGATAGCCACTGCTTTTAGGATCATCAGCAGGTTTTGTCTTAACCGGATTTGGCTGGAGGAGCTGAATCAACTGTGTCCCAGGATTACAGGGATGACATTGGAGAACAGTTTAGAGTCCAGAGGCCAGAGCATTGACACCTTCATCGAAACCCTGCCCATCATCTGAGCGCCTCGGGGTTCCAGTAGTGCAGAGAAAACCCTCCATCGTCTCTTTGCCTCTCTGTGATACCTGGAGTCTTAATCCTTGCTTCATTTTTACCGTCAGTCGGGGGTATGTTTTAGGTCTTCTGTTGCCGAGCGGATTTTTAAATCTTTTTCTTTTTAATTGTGTTGTGTCTTGACTTGCTCGTTGGTGGCCAGATGTTTGCCCAAGATTTTGCAGTTGTTTGGGAGGGGAGGAAGGAGAGAGAGAACAAATTCAACATCGCCCTCAAAATTGTTATCTTAAGCCTAAAGTAGCTGCCTGGCGCCTGTTGCTAGGTAACAGCCTCAAGCTGGCAAGGACAAGTCTTGAGCTGTCTAGAAAGTGATTCCCTGTGACTTTGTCTGGGCCTCGCAGATTGATTTAAGAGACACTATGGGATCTTTAGCTGTGGTTCGTTGAAGGAACCGTGTCCATAAGCCCGCTGCCGGAGATAGAGTCGAGATGATGCACGTAAATTGTGGCACGAGAGTTTAAAAGGCAGCAGTTACCTTTTTAACGTTTTATGTGTTAACATGTGGTACGTATGCTGAGCCTCTCGTTCTTTGTCTCCTCCAGATCAGCAAGAGTCTAGGCGGCGGAGCGAAGCACACCATTAGTAGAGGAAAATGAGTGAACTGGATCAGCTACGCCAGGAGGCTGAGCAGCTCAAGAACCAGATCAGAGTAAGTCCTCTACGGTCCTCCAGTTAACCTGTTTCTGTTTGTTTTTTATTGTTTTGGGTTAGGTTTGTGCTCCAGATCTCAAACTAGTGCTGATGAAAGGAGACCAAACCAGCTTCTCCTTTTAGCGGTTCTCTATTAGTGTTGACATTATAAAGATCAAGTGGGAATTAGGCCATTTTTTTCTTCACTTCTATCTTGCTGGATGCAAAAAAAGAGCATCTAAACAGATCTGTCACAATTAAATGTTAAATATAAATACTGACAGTAAGCTAAGACAATAATGTCTTTAAGTTTGATTTATCAAATTCACTAAAACTGCCGCCTACAGAACTGTGCATCCGCCATCCATAACATGAGCCACTTGATTACATTTCGCAGATAAGTGCGGCACCTTTAAGTTAAAGCCTGTACGAGCTAGCCAGTGGCGTCAGATGCAGAGTTTGTATCGTACCGTTGTTTCACCTGCAGTGCACCATATTTTCATAATGACATTTATTTAAAGCGGTTAAGATCTTCGCCGCAGTGCTGACGTCACACATTAATATTACAATTCAAGTTGTTAAATATCGTACAAACCTCCCATCTGATGTGTAAGTTGACGGCGCTGTTGTGTTTCAGGATGCCAGGAAAGCGTGTGCGGATGCTACCCTGTCTCAGGTAAGAAGTCTGTTGACGCCGCCATCTAGTCTCAACGTTACTGATGATTGAAATGGGATTAAATATGTTTGATGTTTAGTTATTACGCATGGTGTGACAAATGTTTGTTTTGTTTTGGCCAGACTGCATGAGGTTTGAATAGTGGAAAAAATATTGCGTGGTTTATTATCTTTCTCTTTCCTCTTAACCCCGTTTAGATCACAGCTAACATCGACCCTGTTGGCCGAATTCAGATGCGCACTAGACGAACGCTGAGGGGGCATCTGGCTAAAATCTATGCCATGCACTGGGGCACTGATTCAAGGTAATTTCATTCAGATCCACTTTGTCCATAGCTACATATTTCTTCCTGTCAGCCCAGCCCCCATCCACCTCCTCTTCCCTAAGCAGGAAATGGATATAAAAGCTTACTTAACTGGCTTTGTGCTAGTTACTTCCTCCTAAGGGTTTTCATCAAATCATGAAATTCCTCAATAGCCTGCGTCCCAAAGCGTCCCGTCATATTAATATATGCTCGCTGTCCAATCAATGGAAGAGCAACATGCACAATGGTTAATGCATGTTTTTGCTGTGAATGGACGTGCATCAGTCACTCTGTCTTTGTGTGTCTCCTGTGTTCCTGAGTACGGACGATATTCAAAATGGAGTTTGTGTGTTAAAGCCCACAGCCAAGGCTTCACGTAAAGCCTTTTCCCTGGAGTCGTACACACCTCTAACCTCAGCAAACAACAAGTTAATCACTGCGTTGCTGGTGCATGTCGGTCCTTAGAGAGGCCGCTGCAAACTGCTCAGTCACCTCATCATCATCATCCTCCCAGTCGAATGAATACAGAAGTCTACCCACCGTATTTACCCACCGTCAGCTCTGTTGCGTCTGTTAATGGTTCACCTTCCAGAGGAGTTTTCATTAGACCACCTCAGACTACCTGCTGAGACCCGGCCACCCAGAAAGAAGGTCACCTAAAGATGTTTTGACCCAGAGTCTAGGCCGGCTCTGCTATTTTTAGCCGTGCGGAGACACTGCTTGAATTCAGACCAGGGTGGATCTGGAACTGTTGGAGAAAGAATCCTTTTCATTAATTCCTCTTTTTTTTTTTATGCAGCGCTCTGTGGATCATTAAACCACACAAACTCTCCTCTTAGAAAAACCTGCATTATAATAAAGTAGAATAAATCAGTTTCTTTTTTTTTTGTCAAAAGCTCAAGTTTACTTTGTCACAGCCGGATATCAAATACAAAACAAGAGAATGCTTAGAACCATATTTTGCAGGGTTTTTTAAAATAATATTTTTATGGCATTATTTAAGTGTATTGTTCCTGCTAATCATCCCAGCTGTTTAGCATGTTTACATCATCACCCAACTGATACAGCATCAGACAGGTTTGGAGTCAACAGGTAACTGTAGTCCACATTAATTAAGTTTATTTCTCTCTAATGCCAGTGAGAGGTCAAAACATCGTTGAGCTAAAACATCTTTTGTTGTCATAATTTCTTATCTTTATTTTTTTCCTCACTAAACTCGGTTTCAATAGCACTTTGTATCGGCTTGAACTCAGTGAGTCATAACTCATGTCCCACATGAAAAGATGTCTTCATAACCGCCACGTGATCCGCCACTGGTTTGTTTTCTGTTGCTGTGCCATGACACTCCTGGTACAAGGCCACTCTTGTTGCCGTAAGTTTGCCGATTTTTCATGTCGGCTACTTACGAGATGTTTTGGTTTTCAGTGGATTCGTCGTATCTATAACTCCTGTTTGACGGACGCGGTTTACTAATCGTCTGACATTTGGGGAAACAAATATCATGTATTTATGAGTATTTATACTTTTATTGGTGCTCAACTTCCCCCATAAGCTCCAAAACTGCCTAATTGATCAAACGATGGCACACTTTACATAAAGGAGTAGAGACTGACGACAAGAATAGTAGATATTAAAGGAAGGTGTGGCTCCATGTCATGTTTCTCCATCTTGTTTTGCTATTTCTAAGAACTTTCTGCACCTGACAGGCTCCGAGTTACGCAAACAAACCTCATCAATATGTCAGAAAAGTAAAACAATTTGATTGAAAATTGGATCTTGTACACTTTTAAGAATGATTAGTGAGAAGAGTGAATAAACAAACATGGATCTCTTCATCTTTCCTCAAAGTGTTGCCTCCCTGATCTAAACCTTTCTCTACATCATCCCAAACCCTGTTCATTTTATGGCCAGGAAGCCGATGAGGAACTTTCTCCTCGGCTAAAATTCCCAGCGCGCTAACCGTCCCCGGCTTATTATCTCCAGGAGTATGCACATGTGAGTGTGCTTCCTCAGAATGGTAGTTAAGATGTGCAGAGTCCCAGCAGTCCTCGGTGTGTTCACTTCTCTCCTGTTCCTGTGTGCATTGGGACCATTGCTGTGGTTACACTCGTTAAATTCACCCAGATAGCTGTAGTCACAGAGGGCGCCTCGGAGCCGCCTCGACAACGCAAAAACAGAGTCCTGTTTAAAAATACGCTTAACGTGCAGGCTCTGTAGGTTGTGTTTTTGAGACATACTTGATAGTAGAATTTCACACATAAGTATACGTATACTTCAACTTCTGGGTTCTCGGTTCGGCGCCGTCCAGTCCAGTGCAGCAGCTTTACAGGAACGTCGTGGCCCAGTTAGCTCGCGTTTACCTTCATCCCCACACATTATATAACCGCACAAATCGTATTCAATTATGACTAAATCAAATTTTCTTAGCACATTGCTGTGGCTGTTTATGTTTGAGTGTCTAGAAGCAGATTTAAGCAGCGGGCGCACAACATAACTCACGTGTCCGCTGTGATGGTTCTCAACAAGCCCCTCGTCTTTCCACCCCTACACGGAGATTGGATCACGTGATCTGGATCGCTAATTAAAAAGAACATTATTTTTCACCTTCCAAATACGTAACCTATAAATGATGCACGATGAAACTACGAAGCCCAGAAAACGTAGAATAGAACAGAATGACTGTATTGTCCACAGCAGGGACTAACACATGCTGATGGTTGTAGTTTTGTGGCGCTGCCTCTTTACTCAAACAGGATTTAATATGGAACGGAGACTTTCAGGTCATTGTTGGCCCTGATTGTTAGTCAGTGCAGCAGGACTGCGATATAAAGTCTGTAGTCGCTGCATGTAAGCAAACGCATCTAAACAAATGAGACAGAATGCATCACTGGACAAACACCTGCATTCTCCTACCTGCATGTGTCCTAAACTGATGTAAAGCACTTCCTAGAGTTTGTAGGGACTGGTCATTTGATGTTTTCTTTCCTTTTCTCATCATCAGGCTTTTGGTGAGCGCCTCCCAGGATGGCAAACTCATTATCTGGGACAGCTACACCACAAACAAGGTAGGTGCATCATATTCAGAAAGCTGTTTGCACCGAGATGTGATGAGATGACATCACCTGGTTGGTTAGCTTGCTGTGAGGGGCTTTGTTCCAGAAAACTGAAGCAGAACTTCTGGCAGCCGATGAAGTTAAAATGGTTTTACTGTCAGGCAGGAAATATCAGACGTATGAAGGTGCTTTAGAAGATGTTATAGTCAACCAAACGACACGATTTGATAAGTGAATCGTTGTCTTTACCTGCTGATCAAAGCTTAAATAAGCAGTCGCCACAACCCCCAGAAGCACCGAGTTTATTATAATGCGTTTTACAAGTGTTTGACAGAGCCGAGTAACGCTATTTATAGCGGCTATTGTGCCCTTGAAAGGTTAAGTTAATATTGCAGACAGACTTTGTCACATGCCCTCCCCTCCCCTCCCTCTCCTCCATCTGTCACTGTACGCTATCTAATATTAAATCTTCCTCCTCTCCTCCAGGTCCACGCCATCCCGTTGCGCTCCTCCTGGGTGATGACGTGCGCCTATGCCCCTTCTGGGAACTACGTTGCTTGTGGTGGCCTGGACAACATCTGCTCCATCTACAACCTGAAGACCCGTGAAGGAAACGTGCGCGTCAGCCGCGAGCTGGCCGGACACACAGGTAGGCTGGACGCTGTCTCGTTTGGACCGGTTCAAGTCGTTTTGTTTTTGGAACGTCAGACCGATCTGTGTAAAGGTTGAGTGTAATGACGGTGGTGGGAAGTTTACTGAAGCACTTGGGTTTAAGCCTCACAACAACAAATAAAAAGGATTTCTGTTTTTAACATAATTAATGACATGAAGGAGAACAAAAAACGATGTCTGCGAACAGAGAATTTTGAAAGTGACCTGATTTTTCCCACAATCCTCCGGGACAAAGTCCTCGACCAGCTCTCCTAGCATCTTCCACGACACTCTTCCAGCTCTTCCTCACCTCTGAAGCCATGAAGGTCTAGCAAGCTGGGTAGCCCGGCACGTCCATCCAACACCTTCCACCAGTCCTGCCTTTAAACCCGTCGCTTGTCACTGCTAATATTAACTTATCCTACTATAGATTGAAGGTTTATTTTGATTTTAATGTGTTAAAGGTGGTGGATGACACGTTGGATTCTCCAAATAGCAGTTAGAATAACCGGATCATTCAATTTAACTTTATTTAAACAGCGCAGTTCACGACATGTGTCAGTGTTTAACGTGGTGAGGTGAACAGAGAACACAACGATTATGTGAAACATCGACACACAACAGTCGGTGGCAAGTTCTTCAGACCGAAGGAGGCCCAAAATACAAGAGAGATATAAACTCTGCCACTGTGATGATGATGTCATGGCAGACATTTTTCTCTTCCTTTGTGCGTAGACGAGATCATATCCCTCATAATACATCTAGAAAAGTTAGTTAATTGAGTTTACATCAGGAGTGTATTAAACAAACCCTCCTCCAGACAAACACAAGCCGTTTATCTGTTATTTACTGACACACAGCACGCTGCTTTTTTTAACTGAAGTCATATAAACACAATTATTTTCATATGCAAACGACACCAGGCGCATAGTGTGTGTGTCTCTAGTGAAAACAGGAGGTGGTCGAGCCGTGTACGAGCTCAAACCAATGAAAGTGTCGAGCTCTTGGGCAAGGAGCGTTCATCTGATCAGTGTCACATGATGCAGGAAGTGTGTCAGCATTTTAGTTCCAGTTCCCTCGCTATAGGGAGGGTTATGTACACACTGCCGGCGAGTAAAGGAGGATTTATGGAAGCCAGTCATGAAGCAGGAGATGCCTTACAGCTTCTTATTTTTCTTTTTTTGTTTCTCGTTCTGGTGGTGAATTAGTCGAGTCATCTCTCTCTCATCCAGCTCGTTGTTTTGGAGTGTCAGGATGATTTGGAGTAAAACGTCTTCCTGTGTGCAGAGCGTCAGGAGGAGACTCCTGCTAGTCATAAGTCACCTTAAAGGAATTATTCAATCAGTGTGTTTGATTCCTTTCAGGATACCTGTCCTGCTGTCGCTTCCTGGATGACAACCAGATTGTCACCAGCTCTGGAGACACCACCTGGTGAGTTGTGGAACTGCAGTCCAACACAACTCCACTACAAATCAGAACCCCGTGAATCACTTCTGAGCTGTGTTTGGGTCTTGTACAGCCTCAGATATCACATCAGTCACAGGGCTGTCATTTTAGCTTGCATTGTGCTGTGAGGTGCTAGTGTTGGTTATCAGGTTTTCATCATTTCCAACAATATTTATGGAAACACAAAAAGGCCACGTCTGTGTCTGAACCCCCACAGTCTCCCAGAGAGCAACACCCCGAGTGTTTTAAAGTACGGTGGATGTTTTGTCTTCCTGTATCCCAGCTGTATGCTAACGTCGCTCTCTCTGCTTCTCTGCAGTGCTCTGTGGGACATTGAGACTGGTCAGCAGACAACTACGTTCGCTGGTCACACCGGTGATGTCATGAGCCTCTCTCTGGCGCCCGACACCCGACTGTTTGTGTCTGGAGCCTGCGATGCCTCAGCCAAGCTCTGGGACATCAGAGAAGGAATGTGCCGACAGACCTTCACTGGCCACGAGTCAGACATCAACGCCATCTGCGTACGGACACACACACACACACACACACACACTGACTTGTTAACGTGCAGCTCAACTTGTTCAAGGCGTGTCCAAGTCAAGTCTGTCAGAGCAAGTCATAGGAGACGAGTTTAAGAGAACATTCCAAGCTTCAGATTGCTGTAGAAGCTGACCGCTGTGTTGTGTTTGAATGTTTTGTTTATCGTGTTTGTCACATCATCGGGTCATTTTACTGCATTTGAATTTTCTCTTAAAAGAAACGCGAGCAGTTTGCATGTAAGATAAAATACACACCACAGACTTGCTTTTACAGAGATGACTGTCCACACGATGGTACAGGAAAGGTGTAGCTACAGCCGTGACTCGATAATCGACCCTTATCAATCCTAAACCTGCTATCTGACAGGTTTGTAGGAAAAACCACCAGAACCCATAAAAACAGCCTTAACATAGCGACAGCCTTGGATTGTGACTCCGACATGACATTTAATGTCACCAATCAGGATGACGGCGTATTATCTGACTGAACAATCCCACAGATTGGCTACGTTCACACTGCAGGACTTGATGCTCAATGAGGATTTCTTTGTGACTTCCTTCACGTTTCCACTTCAATGCGACTTGTATGTGATCTGCTGTGTGAACTTCATACGAGCCAAAAGTGTCCCGCATGCGCAGAAGAGGACACGACGACGTCACACGCAGCGAGCGTGCTCAGTGTTTATGGAAGTAAACATGGATGGTAACGGTGGAGCGTATCTGCCACTCCCCCGCCGCCACCGATGGAGGAAACAGAAGTGTGAGCGCTAACTAAACTAGCATCAGCAGCCAAGTACTGCCTGTGTGTTCTGGACACTTCCACCCCGTCAGAGCGCTGCCCCGGGGTGGAAGTGGTCAGAACGTGCACAATCACACCGGTCAGTGAGGCTGAAGTCCAGCGATGCGTAGTGTTCTAACAACACACTAGTTATTATAACAACTATGAACAATAATGAACAACTAATGAGCCTTCCAGCATCAAGCCCTCCTCGTATCTGGACCTCCTTCTTGACAATCCGACAGCCTTGATATCCAACATAGAAGAAGGTTTTACATTTAGTTTCGGGTTATCGAGTCACAGCTGTACTAAACAGTTCAGTGCATTTACATGTTATCTCATTGAACACTTGGATAGTTTCGTGTCAGGTAAAGGATGTATGATTATGAACCCTCTAAAATCCTGCCTCGACCCTTCTTGCAGTTCTTCCCCAACGGCAACGCCTTTGCCACGGGCTCAGACGACGCCACCTGCCGGCTGTTCGACCTGCGCGCCGACCAGGAGCTGATGGTTTACTCCCACGATAACATCATCTGCGGCATCACCTCCGTCGCGTTCTCTAAGAGCGGCCGCCTACTGCTGGCCGGCTACGATGACTTCAACTGCAACGTCTGGGACACTTTGAAGGCCGACCGTGCAGGTGAGCTGCCACGTAAACGCCAGACGCATGTGATCGTAGCAAAAATCCTCCCCAAAGTCCAAACCATGTGTCACACACCAGAAGCTGATGAATTGGCTTTTAGTCGATGTTCTTGATGCAGATGTGCCACATTAATAATTCCATGTCAGTCAAGCACTGCTGTAAACATGTGAGAGAAGCAGACCAATGGATCTACGACGTGGTTTTAGCGCTCTTTGTTTTAGCACATTTAGCATTAGATAGGCACGGCTGTCACCTCAGGCTCGTAAAGTTTCAAACATTTGGCCGCTCATCCCCTGAACTCATCTAGAAGGAGCTTTTCACTGTATTCAGACCATCAGAAGAGCAAAATATAGTATAAAGTATACACCGACCTTCACTGCTTTTCTACTGAAGAAAGAGGGGCGTGTTGAGGTTGATCACAGAAGAACTCTTCGCGTATCGACAACCACATCTGGTTGTAAATATTCGCTGTACTGCAGGCTGAGGCAGGACGCCATTGGTTATTTTTCTGATTAGACAAATGCTTCATTATTAAAGACAGCCCTCCGTATCGGCTTCACTTCTAAACCTTAATCTTAGATGAGGTGGTTTTACGACACGTGAGGAGGCTCCGTGTGAAGCAGGGACGTTTTTATGGCCTCCTGCTGGACTTACGTTTCTTTACTGTGACGACTGTAGCTGTGAGTAGGTTTGTTTGTTCCACGTGCAGCACCAGGACAAGTGTTTGCCTTCCTCCTGGAGTTTCTCATGACTCGACCACTGATGTAGGTTTTTACTGCACCTGCATCTGGAGAGTTTCACAGCTGGTTAGTCGACTTCCTGTCTAAACAAAGCCGTGAAGACTTCACTGTGTACCAGTCGGGGAAAGATCATTAAATACCGAAAACAAACTCAGCGTTTTCCTCTTTGCTCTGCACACCAACCGTAGACAGATGTTTCACCGTGTTCAATGTGTCCTCCAGCTCCTCTGGTCACTGCTTCGTGCTGCATTTATGTTCACGTAGGTTTTATTTCCCTCTCGGCCTCTTTGACTCATTTTCCTTCTTTCCCCCATTTCTAACGACAGTCCCTAAATCTGATTTCTGAAAAATATATGAACGAATTAAGACTAAATCACATTTTTTAGTTTAGGTTGTTTGAAGGATTGTTGGACGTGTACATTTCTAACAATCGTCTTGTTTTTACAATTTGTAAACCTGATAAATGATGTCATTTGGGGTCTTTTTAAGGTTTAAATTGAATATTGAGAATCATTCTCTGAGACGTGGGGACACAGAAGCTTCAACAGGCTGGACTTAAGATGCTAACACTCCTTTAAATAGTTTTGTTTTGGGGTTTTTTTTTTTTTTTACAGGGAGTTGAAGGATATTGTGATTTTTTTGCAGTTCACACAAGCCTACAGACGGCCGCTGGGCTCGACCAGAGAGCCTGACATTCATTTATGTGTTTATGCTGTAGTATGTAGGTCTGTGAGCCTTTCTGACTGTATGTCAGCACTGAGGGTGGTTTTCTTCTACAGTGTTTGCAGATACGATCGTACGAGGCCAGATCTTTGTTTCTTAGTAGTCAGAGAATAAAAACGTCCATGTGGGAGAGCGTCACCTGCTCCAGCAGAGCAGAGCCCCGTGGAGGCATGAATACTTTACAGTTATCGACCCCATAGTGGATCATCTGGATCTGAGCCAATAGGCACACACACATGCACTGATTGGATCCACTGGTGGGGGGACTATTGATCAGCCTATTGGCTCGGTATTAGTAATAATCAGGTGAAGCTTCTGGACTCTGTGCTTCATGTCCTCATGACGAGGCGGGTTCGTGGCGGCTGAGTCTCAGTGTCTGGTGTCCCTGCAGGTGTCCTGGCCGGTCACGATAACCGGGTGAGCTGCTTGGGTGTGACTGATGACGGCATGGCAGTGGCGACAGGGTCCTGGGACAGCTTCCTCAAGATCTGGAACTAGAGTCTGAAGGTGAGCCATGGTCCGATTGTTTAGGCTGCATGGCCTCTCATCTAGAGTTTGTGTTTACTGCCACCTGGGGGTTGGGCGCGAAGGTGCAACATCCAGACATCAGCCATGTATCGGCTGCACATAGTGGAGCTTATTTACTCCAGTCTGAGGTTTTGTGCTTGCTTTTAAAAAATATATTTATTTTTGTTATTATTGCTTTTATTTTTATTATTATTTATTGTTGTTTTATTTTATTTATTTTTTTAATTATCGTTATTTTTTATTATTAAATTTTTTTATTCGATTTTTTTAGTTTTATTGTCATTATTATTTTTTATTTTTATATTATCATTTTTTATTAGATTTGATTATTATTGTTATTTTCCTGTGTGGCCTGCCTCTGAAATTTCTTGTCAAATTTTTCACATTGATCGTGGACACAGTCATGATAATCATTTCTTTTTACTGTCCGTCCACTGACTGAGGTGCTCAACGCTGACAGTCCATCACTGACTTTTCCTTCTCTTTGTTTCTTCCAGACGGCATCCGGACTCCAAAGTTGAGTGGAAGACCATTCCAACATCACAATGTTCAATTTTATTGCATATCCAATCTTTTCGAGAAAAAAAAACAAAAAAAAAACAAAACACCATGATACTGACTCCAAACACCCCCAAAAAACTATCAAGGGCAAAAATTCTCTCTCTCTCTCTCCTCCTCATTTAAAAGAGCACAATTATCCGTCACTCATTCAGCTCCGACAACGACAAAAAAACGAAAAAAGACAAAAACAGCTTGAGGGATTTAGTGGTTTTAAAGTGGAACGGAGGGGAAACTGTGCATTCCTCCTGCCACCATGGTCTGGTGTCGTGATAAATGAAAATACCCCGCCGCCACCACCGCTGCCATCGCCACCACCAAGCAAACGTGTCCTGCGTCCTCATTATGCACAGGTCTGAGTGAAGGTTACGACACGACAGCGATCTAACTCTGAATAGCTTTCTGGCCATGTTTGTTTCTGTTGTTCTCATGGTTCTGTTCTGTTGAACGGAGGTAGATCAGCCGGCTGTCGGTTCATGTTGGAAATGAGGATCAAAGCTTTGTTTTATTTCCTAGTCTTTACACATTTTAGAGAAATGTTTTTAAGTTGAAAAAGAGAAGAAAACCTCCAGATCGCGCCGTTTTAAACCCAGCTTTATTCCACTGGAGAACAAAGCGAGAGAATTGAGCTTCAACAGGGAGTCCTCGAGCCACTTCTGGCCCTTCTGTATATTTAGCCCCTCGATACTTTTACTGTTTCTTTTTTCCAGTGTAGTCCACGAATCTTTGTTTGCACAAAAATTAAACTTTGCATATATAGAATAATGTCTAAAGAAAAAAAGTTAACTAACCAAGCACATGCTGTTTATGATAATGAATGCTCGTTTTTAAAACGAAAAACAACAAAAAAAAACAAACCATTTTAACCATTCTTACACCTTTTTGTCTGGCAACAATGTAGAATAATTAAATGAAGATTAACCCATCGGATCATAATCCACCCCACCCCCTTTTTTTTTTATTCTTTTTTTGTTTTTTGTTTGTTTTCCTCCTTAACTTTAGTTCCCCTGGTTTCTGTTGCCCGTGGTTGGGACCGGTGATGTGAATTGGTCGGGTCGGACGTACCTCCACTTTAGCCCGGTTACAATCCGGACATTTCTCTTTTAACAGAGGTGCCCATTCCGTGCTTGGAAATGCAGTTACTACTCTGTGAATGACATGTTGTATAAATCAATGTTTGAAAATAATGATATTGAAACTTTTTAAGTTAAAAACGAAAAAAAAAAAAGATTTTGGTTGTCTGCCATGGGTGGGTTATCTCTTAGAATCGCATGCTGTAGAATTGCTTAAAAGGTGCATATGGAATTAAGTCCTTTTGATGTTTTTCTTTAAGAAAATAACCTGTTGAATATATCAATACGATGGTATTTATATTTTTTTTTCTTTTTTTTTTTTTTTTTTTTTTTTTTTTTCTTTTTTTTTGTTCCTTTTTTGTTTTTGGCTACTCCGTGCATACATGATTCAACTAAAATGTCAAAGCTATGCACTCGAGAAGCAAACCCTGCGACATAAACGGTTACTTGGTCCATTCTTGGGAGGGATTCCACAAATTGAGACGTAAATGTTTAAATCGTACACACATGCATACATACATCCATCCACCCAAACGTACACGATCTCGAACGGAACAAATACAAATTCTCATTCCTTCTGTAGCAAAACGAAATTCCATTTACAAAGAAAAACATTTTATAACAGGTTTTTTTCTGTCCTTTATTAAAAAATGAAAAAAAAAAAAGTCTTGCAGCATCTGAATGGCAGAACTTTCTGTTGTTCCCTTCTCCTTGTAAACAGAGACGCTCTTTCTTTAGCAGTAGTGACATTTTTTCCATTCTGTTTTTTCTCTGCGACATTCTGTACAAACAACAACAAAAAAATAAAATGTGCTGTAATTGTGCGTTAGGCCTGGAGTTGGCAAAAAAAAAACAATAAAACAAAAATAAAAAATATTAAAAATTAATTAAATTCCCTTTCCTTTTCTCTCTCTTTCTCCATCGAATAACTGTAGAGCTCTGCACCCCCACTGTTCCCCTTTTCACCTTTTGTATTTAATTTTAAAGTCAGTCAGTGTACAACCGAAAGCTGGATGCAAGATAGAAACTATATTAAAATGTACTGTTATTTAAGATGTAATAAAAAGCAGTTTGAGATGACCTACTGTGTTGAGTGTGATTCACTTAGAGCGATTCCCACTGAAGCTAGAATGTTGCAGACTGTTTGGTTTCCTTGTAATTATGTTCAAGTCAAATAAACAATTTCTTATCCACTGTTGAATCGGCCTGGCTCCTCTGTGCACCAATAGAAACCCACACCTGATCGTACCGTTTGTCTGAGGATTAAACATGAAATCGCAGAACTCGACCGTCACCGGTGTTGAGTGGAAGTTGCATGCTCACTTAAAAACATCTGTGAGGATGTCTCCACGTCGCCGGGCCGACGGCCGCTAGGTGGCCCAGAGGCCTGCATCAGGAGCTCCTGCCAGACCAGCAGCCGTCCTACAGGTGCAGGTAGAACTGCCTGACCTTTGTTGCCCTCTATTGATTCTAAGTGTAAATTACAAAAAAGTGAATTTGTACAGGCACTTTTTTTTTTTAGTGTTTTTGTTTTTTAATCTGTTTTGTTAGGATGTGGAAATATTTAATCATCGCACAACAGCCACTGATCAAGATCACTGATTTATTAGAAAAACTGAAAATGAGTTTAGGATCAAGCTGTGATTGTGATGATTAAACTAATATCAATAAAAAGTGAATTAATTCCATAACAGTTATTTACACAGCCTATGTGTTAGATGAGAGACTGACAGTAGAGGTTCCCTGGCAGTTTCACTGAGCACAAAATCTGATGCTCTTTGTTAAACATG